GTTTTCCAGCTAATTGTTGTGCGTAACATGTCACCAGGACCCGCTGGTAACCGGGAGGCCAACATCCAAGTTCAACTCAGGGCAGCCTCAAGGCTCAAGTTCCCTTATACCAGGAGTCTTCATGCCAGGGCGGGGGCTTGGCCTGGGCTCAAGCCCGAGCCCTAGGTGCGCTCACGTCGGGCTTGACTTGACTCGGGCTTGAGCGGGCTTGCTTTGAGGGCCTGAATGCTTTAGGGCCAAGCCCTCCCAAAATACTATAAATCGATCGAGTTGACCGCTATAACACCCACGATCGCCCGACGGAACACCCAGACTTGTGTGTCCACTCTCGAGATCTCCTGTCCCTCTCGTAATCAGCAATGCAGCCCAAGACCCTCCCTCCAGACCTGCTGCGTAATTCGCCCAAGCTCTCTGCTTCCCAGGCCGGCCACCTGCGCCACTTCCACAACCTCGCCGCTGCTCTGCCCGGTGAATGGCCCCAGATGGGCTCACAGGTGCCTGGGCAAGAATGGCTCGACTCGCAGAGGTATCAGCTCGCGACCATGGCGTACGCGGCCGGGGTGGCGCACTATCACCGCCTCCCAGCCTTGCGTTCCGTGTTCAAGACCTTGCTGGAAGCCCTAATTAGCAAGATGATGCACAGGGATGTCTGGTCTTACTGGTATTTGACGAGCCAAAGCGGACGCACCGTCGATCCAGACATCAAGGAGCTCAGGAAGCCGTGGCCGGATCCCATCGTTCGGGAGAACATCATGGCATGTGTCTACCGCACTTCGCGGGGCAGGGTGTTTGGCTGACTGGATGCAGTATTCTGGGCATCTCCTTCTCATGGTGTCGCTGCACGCGATGCTGTTCAACGACGACAAATACGACGCGCCCGACGCGCTTGTGTTCAACTGGGACCCGATCTTTTGGGGCATGGGTCCGGAGACGTTCAAGTACAATCGCAGCTCTTTGCAAGAAGCTATCCTGAAGCAGATGGAGGACGAGAACTGGATGGGCGTCTGCTGCGAGCCTAACTGCGTGTTAGTCTCATTTTTCTTTTGACGCAGCGATCACCGTGTATGCTAAAAAAATCCTACTTAGTTTCATCGTGTGCAACCAATTTCCAGTAAGTCAGCGAACGTTTCGTTCGTTGGATACCTCTGATCGGCGAGGCAGCTCATTGCGATGCGATACAACGACGTGCGCGCCGGTTCCAATGTCGTCGGTCCCGCGCTTGAGAAGTACACCGCGGCATGGAAGTCTAAGCAGGGGTTTCAACAGCGCGACGGGCTTTTTGCCGATTGGTACAGGGTGAATCAAGACAGCGTAGTTCCCGCGATTAGCCTGGGGTTTACTGCATGGTATGATTTCCTTAAGCCGAATAAATATGTTCCTAATATTGTATTAGGGCGTGCGCGTTCATGAACGTATGGAACTCGGAAGAAGTGCACGCGCTCTATCCCACCCATGCTCTCGGCTTCCTCACCAAAGTCTTGGAGGATGGTCGCATAAACCTCAACAGCCCCAACGTCGCCCTCGCCTTCCGCACCCTTGTCCGGGAGGAAGGCGCCGACCCGGACGCCGCCTCGACGCTCGAAAAGGCGCGCAAACTCGCTGCGCCGGAAAGAAAACTCCAGCGGCCCGAGTTCGGCTACGTCGTGCAGTGGGTCTCCGAAGTCGCGAACGACGACGCGACGCTTGCGGGCCTCCTACGCCATGCGGACAAGTTCCTGAACCCCACGTGGGCGCGCGGCGGCCTTTTCTACGCGCGGCACGACGCGCTGCAGGACGTGGCTGGCAACTGGACGCACATGGACGCGTTCAGCGGGAACGCGGGGATCGGGTACGCGCGGCTCAACGTGCGCAACGGGCAGAAGAAGATGTGGGACGCGCCGTGGGGGCGCGAGCACTTTGCCGCGTACCCGTACGTCGACGGCGTGGACTTGGCCAGTGGCGTGGACTTTTTGCGCGCCGCCTGGGATGCGGAGAAGGGCGCGATGGTGCTCACCGTGAGGACGTGGGACGGGGCACCTACGACGTGAGCGGACTTTTTTTTTTTGAGGGCTGGCTGATGGATCTGGTTCAGGATTACGCCTGTGTTTCGCAACCTCCCCTTCGGCGAGTACGGCGTGTACATTGATGGGGAACTGTCGGAGGTACGGATCTCAGGTGCCGAAGACGGCATCGCGGTGCCGCTGAGTGTCGGCGGAGCGGAGCGTGATGTCGTTTTACTCGCAGCAAGCCAACAGTAAACTAGACCGCTCTTGGCTGCCGCAAATTATCTCGGTCTGAGCCTCCGAGTGTTCAGGTTTGCAAGGTACTTTTTTTTCGGCTTGCTGGCTATATGCTTATGACTGCGACGAATAAAAAGAACAATTTTTATAACCGTCACTCTCGTAAATTCGTTCCTGAACTAAGGCTGAGTACTAACTAGTACTAACTTCCGACACCAGGCGACACCTGCTTCCTGAATAAATGATGCGACATCATCGACGGCCCCAGGATTGTACAGCCTTGAGCTTCCTTTGATATTGATGTGAATCCCACTCCGTGGAGATATCCATGCCATGACTGTCAGATAAATATCAGACCTAGGCTTGCTCCAGTCTTGTTCCGTGAAACACACTGGTTCTTTCTGACCATGAAGGATCTCACAACTTGCTTGCTTCTGGTAGCCTCACTTCACCATTGGGTTCACGGTTGCAATGCTGCTACTCCGCCGCCGACTTTCCAAGCGGATGGGGTCCCATTTAAAGCACCGGTGACAGTTGCGCCCGGGTTCTCTGCACGGGTTCTGTTCTCAAACCTTACTACTCCACGGGGTATCACTCTCGACGCAGAGGAGAACATCCTTGTCGTTGAGCGCGGCTTTGGGGTTACGGCTTTTAGCCCCGTGGACGGAGGGTGGGAACGAACTGTGGTTGTTTCGAATCCCAACTTCACCCAGGGCATTCAAATCGACCGTGGTCTCCTCTATGTCAGCACTGCGTCAGATGTTCTTGTCTACAACTACGACGCAGTCCAAAAATCGGTCAATAACACTGTTCCCTATCTTCTGGTTGCTGGGCTTCCACCGGACGGAGGTATGTAGGTCTATTCCCGTCATTGGCCGAGAAACTTGATTCATGGGGCTCAGATTTAACCACTCATACTCTCCAACTTCAACGGAGAGGGGAGGCCACAATAATGCTGATCGCCGACGGGCCCTTGAGCAATATTGACCCTACTGCGCGCAACGCATCATCTGGGCGTTCTCAGATCCGGGCTTTCGTCCTTCCGAATTTAAACCTCAGCACACCAATCGCCCCCCTTCAGTGGTCTTCCGGCCAAATTTTAGCGTACGGAATTCGGAACCCTGCTGGGTTCGCTTTCCATCCATCCTCTTCCAATCAGCTCTACGTCGTCGAGAATGGCGCCAGCATCGACAACGTTACCGGTCTCACGGCCGCGTTTGTCAACGACAACCCTGCAGACGAGATCAATCTGGTGGACTTGAACGGGAGTCTGGATTTCTATGGATTTCCGGACTGTACTACCCTCTGGAACCCCAAGGCTGATCCCGTAGGTGACCCGCAGTATGTGAATTTGAAAAGAGGCGACCAAATCAGTTTGTTATTGGAACCGAGCAGAGGTAACGCTTGGTGCTCTTCCCCCGCAAACAACGTTCCCCCGGTCCTCAGCTTTCAGGTCTGTCACTTTATAGTAATTTGAGCATCGAAGACTTACTTGATTCCAGGCCCATTCTGTCCCTCTGGACATAAAATTCTACAAGGCACCCGACGTGCCATCCGCTGCCTCATTCCCGTCGAACTTCAGCGGTGATGCCTTGGTCTCATTCCACGGCTCATTTGATCGGACCCCTCCGACTGGATACGGTGTCGTTCAGTAAGCCCGTTTTTCTATCCCCAGAATCATATGCCGACACTTTGAAATAGCGTTCCGTTCCCCTTTCACGGCGACGACTACTCCTTCGTTATCCAGGCGGCCAATTTAACATCCTGCCCCGGGAACTGTATTCGACCTGTCGGTCTCGCATTCAATCGTTCTGGTGTATTGTATGTGAGTAGCGACTCAAGTGGGGAGGTACGCAACAATTTCTTTTGTCCCCCGATTCCGCTCCGTGGCTTATTCTTGTTGCTAGCTTTTTGTGCTCGAAAAAAGTTGAAGGTGACAAAGTTCCTGAAAATGAAATTGCCGCGAATCCATTCGAGTCGAGTCCACAATATTGTACTGCAACTATAGGGACGTTGATTGTCAATGATATTGCCTAAACCGGTTGTAATATTGAACTTATTTCCGCTTTGGTGCTTTTGTCCTCAAGGAAGATAGATAGCATTCTCAACGACTTGTCTGATCCCTAATCAAATCAGGATTCAGAGAACGTTGTATTCCTGCTTCGATCAGGTTTGTCCTTCATGGCTTTTGTAAGGCCCTGTTGAACTCACTGCCTTGACCTGTAAACCGACCTTGGCACCGTGTCTACCATTGGTTTACACGGCGTGGGCATAGCATATTATAGATGCGACATGCGAGACCGCGAAAATCGACCTCTGTGTTTCTTCGGACTGCCGGTCTACTTATCCTTATCCTATGGGGGGACCTTGAGGCAGTCGGTACTAGTCAGTACTCACGGTTTGTCTTAAAATTTAATCAGCTGTAACTGACGCGTCCCCTTGGTGTCGAAACGCGTTTGATATCCCCATCTGAGCCACAGATCAGAGATATCGCCCCCAAAGTGGCAATCCAGCAAACGTGGTCATATTCCAGCTGGGCACTCGGACGGATACATTAGAGCCTTTTAACTGCACCATTGAACCGCGACCACGAAGGCTGCACAAAATTGGTTCCATGAAATCTTACATGCATGGACTTATGATGGGACTCCGTAGAAGTCCTGCAACGCTGCAGAAGGACCAGGTTTCAGGATTGAAATTAAGAGGTGCACAGCGACTTTTCACCTCCAACTATGGGCACAGTCTCGCCACAAATAGGAGGCACCTCCATATGTTTCCGATGCCTCCTTAGTCCAGTGGTTACGCCGCTGCGACTATGACCTCTTCAAGAAATTGAGAGGTCAAGGGTTCAAGTCCCACAGGAGGCATCCGGGCTGTAGTCTGTTGTTTCGGGCCGATCCCGGGAACAGTGGGCTGCCGACGGGGTGCACCAGAGTACTACGCGTTCGGTACAGTGACGGTAGAGAGAGTTCGTTCCATCAGTCGGCGAAAGCCTCGCCCCACCAGGCACATTTTTTGGCTTTGTTTCCTTTCAAAGAGTTCGGAGGAAATCAATTTCCAATGTCTTTCAACGAACGGACCCCAACTTGGGGTGTTCCTACTCCCAATACCCATCTCTACCCATCTCGACTCCGTCTCGGTAACCCAGACGTTTCGGTCCGTGTGATCCGCTAATTCGGTTAAGAATGCCAGTGATGGACGCAACACTGCACACCGTCTGAGGCATTTGGTACAATGGTAGTGTGTTACCCCCATGGTTTCACGCTCTCGTACGCCACGCAATCCTCAATCTCGCACCGTATATAATTCAGGACACTCACTTTACCCTGTAGATGACTTGAAATTACCAACACTATACACTTGTCAAGTTTCCGATTTTTTTGTGACAGGTAAGACCTCAATTGGATGTAAATGTGTGAGGTTTTTCCCCCTCTTACGAGTTATCGTCTTGTAATAACAAAGTTCGGTGTAGGAAAAAGTTGACGCGGTCCATTGCGGCGTGCGCAAGCTACATACCGTCTTGAATTTTCAAGTCGAAATGCAACACAATTACACGTGACAGTTAAACAGGGCACGTGCTTCTGTGGTTGAAATTAGCCCCGAGGTTGAACGTTGAACTCGGACTCTGCAAAGCCAGATGGAAGTTGACGGAAGTCGACGATAGAAAGAATTCGGCGATTCAAGTTGAAACCGAGTCCTCTTCGATCTCTACCAACTCCTTTCCCTCTTCAACCATTTCCCCATTTCTGCACCCTATCGCTTTCACAACCCCAGAGACGTCGGCACGCAACACTGTCTCCGTCTTCATGCTCTCCAAAACAATCACAGCCTGTCCCTTCTCCACACGGTCGCCGAGCTTAACACGGACTTCGACCACGAGACTGGGCATGGGAGCCCTCAACGCGCCCTTGGCGGCGCTCAGGATGTCTTCACTGAGCGCCAACAGCCATTTGGGCGAGGGGAGCACCAGCGTCGTTTTCGCCCCTCCTCTAAAGACATGAATGCGTTCCATGGTATTCGGCGAGTTCGTGGCAGGGACGGCCGCAGCTGGGGGCTGTGCGACGATTGTGACTCGGGCGTATTCGTCGTTCAGCGTGGAGGAGAGCGTCGTCGGCGAGATCAGTTGCGCTGCAACAGAGCTAAAGTGCGTATCACCGTTCTCCGTGTTCACGGTGACATCGAAATGGGCGGGACCAACAGACTTAATCTGAACAGCCATGGGTGTAGAATCGGGCCCGGCGCCCTCTTCTTTCAGGGTGATCGTACGCTCGTACACGTCGCCCCCGAATCGACGGGAAGCCAAAGACGTCCAGGGAGATTGCAGCAACGGGGATGAGATCGGATGGTCCCGAAGGACCACGAACAGTGCGGCTTGAGCCACAAGTTCGGGCGATGGCGCTGGGATCGGTGGGAACAACTCGTCGAAATGTTTCTGCAATTGAATAAACATCAGGAAACAAAGGGAAAAACTGGATTTCTTACGGGAATGAAGCCCGTTTCGACCTCTTCATTGATGAAAGCCTCGTTCCCCGCCAAAGTTCGGAGAAATTCAACGTTCGTGGCTACCCCAACGACGTGGTACTCGTCGAGCGCTTTCCTAAGCAACCGCAGTGCCTCCGTGCGGTCTCTCCCATGAACAACGAGTTTCGCAATCATGGGATCGTAGAACACGCCAATCTGCGAGCCTTGTCCGAATCCCTGTTCGAGCCGGACAGCCGGAAGGATGACCATCGAATCGTGAGAGGAGAGGGATGGTGTCAGATCTGACAGGGCAGAACCACCAGAGGACGGCACAATCGGAGCGAAGGGCGTTGCAAATACATGAGTAGGTGTCGGGGTAGAAAGGTGGAGAAGGGGCCCAGAGTCCGGTAGGAAGTTGTTGCGCGGGTTCTCGGCGTAGATGCGAGCTTCAAATGCGTGACCTACAAGAGGGATGGATGATTGCGCAAGAGGTAACGGGTTCCCGGCGGCAACCTAGATATGTTGAGAAACTGAAAATCCGTTGGATTCTGGGTGGTCTACCTCCAACTGCCACTCGACCAGATCTAATCCAGTAACCTGTGCATGCCGACAAGCTGAATGTCGAAGTTGCATTCGGATTGAAAGAGGGATATCTCACCATCTCTGTCACAGGATGTTCAACTTGTAGGCGTGTGTTCCTATAAAGTGAGTGAGGCTAACTTGAACTATCACAGATGTCGACGCCTACATCTCCATGAAGTAGAACTTCTCTGTGTCGTTGTCAAAGATAAATTCGACTGTCCCAGCACCAGCATAATTGACGGCCTTCGCAGCAGCGATGGCCTTTGAGCTCAAATCGGCACGGAGCTCAGGAGACAGCCTCGGCGCGGGAGCCTGTGTGTGCTATGATTCAACTAGATCAGCCTGACATGCAGAAACGCACCTCCTCGATAATCTTTTGGTTCCGCCGCTGTACGGAACAATCGCGCTCCCACAGGCTGACCACGCCGCCCAACGTGTCCGCAAACACCTGCACCTCAACATGCCGCGGGCGTTCTATATATTTCTCAACCAGGACGGTGTCATTGCCGAAGGCCTTGAGGGATTCGCGCTGGGCAGACGACAGCGCCTCCTGGAACGCGGCAAAGGTGGGGGTGGTCACAGTGCGCATGCCCTTGCCACCACCACCATGTATAGCCTTTATCAACACGGGAAAACCTGCACGGTCGTCGTCATACAACAACTGAAGCGAGAAAGAGCTGTGATACCTATCCGGGTGGCCTCTTCGAAGAGGAACTCCGGGCTCTGTTCATCTCCGTGGTATCCCGGAACGCACGGAACACCCGCCGCTATATCTTTCAGTAAAGTTCAAGTATGTAGAAAGAGTGTTACCAGACATGATATTCTTCGATTCGCTGGCTCGCAACGTAAATTAGGGGCTTGAAGGAGGACTGCATTCGTTACCTCTTTGAACCCATACTTACGATGGCTTGAGCAGGCGGTCCAATGAATACGATGCCCTCTTTAACCAGTGTCTCTGAGAAAACAGCGTTCTCGCTCAGGAACCCATATCTTGAGGGCGTTCAGCAATGTACTAACTCGGGAGGGGTTAGGAAATACCCGGGGTGTACCGCCTGTGGTTGAAATTAGAAGTAGAACAGACTAAAGGGGACATGAATGAATGACCTGCGCGCCACTGCGACGACATATATCAATTATCTTGTCCATTCGGAGCTTGATGGTGGATTAAGATGGCCCACCGGGGGGTCGAATTCGGGCACTCACATAGCTTTCTGCGGACGGGGCTGGACCGATACAATACGCCTCGTCTGCCTGAGAATATCTCTATGCATATCTTGTATTAAAATAACTGGGATCGTCGTACCAGCTTTACGTGCAATGACTCCTTGTCTACGTCGCTATACACGGCGACGGTCTTGATTCCAAGTTTCCTGGCGGTCCGAATAACGCGACAGGCGATCTCCCCTCTGTTACAGCAGTTCAACGATCTTCCTTGGTTGGAATACGTGTTCCCTCACCTATTGGCGATGAGGATTTTGTCAAAGTGGGGCAGACGAGCGGATTCTGTAACTGTTAATATTCATTCAGGATCGTTAAAAACCCACGAACTGCTCTCGGATGCATAGAAGCGTCTCGGGTTGGCAGAAATTGGATCCGAATGACTGGTCTTCTGAACGGAAGGTGGAAGCCGGCAAACTGAAGGGTCTGTAGGGCCGAGTGGACGTATCCCTTTCGCGTGGTGAGCGCGCAAACTGGTGGTTACCCCAGCGGTAATCCTGGCCTTTGAGATAACCGCGCGGTTGGTCGGGATCATGGATACTACTAGCCCTCCCGGACAGTAACTGTTTCTTGTTGGTCGGAACGGAGCTTTGACCATCCACGTGATCCGGGCTTGTTTGTTTGTTTCCGTTTTACGTAAACGATCAAGACACTCCTTGTCTTCTGCCACTTCTCCGTTCAAAAAATCTATATGGTGTTGTCCTATTCTCGACTTGCATTCATATCATCCTCCAATAACACCTTACCAGCGGGGGTCATTTTGCGACACTCGTGGGTGCGGATTATCCTTCTATTTTGTCGGGACAATTCGCAAATCGTGCGGCAGAACGTAATATGGCTCCCAAACAGTCCGTCGAGCGCACCGTACGTCTGCTTAGCATCAGTCATAGGACAAATGTATCACCTTCACTTTATTTAGCGTCTGGAAGATATCTTAGATGCTGCGCCGCCCCAAACCCGTCGTCCAAACCAGTCCGCCCGTAAATCCACAGGCGGTAAACCTCCACGAAAATTACTTGCCGAGGATCGTTTAGTAAATTTCCAATGTGACACGTCTATCCTACAAATTGATATCCTTCTCAAGTCTACGAGTGCAAGCCCTGACCCAGTTCGCAAGAATCCAAGTCAATGTGCTCGTAAATCCACTGGTGGCAAGCCGCCCAAGCCTCCTATTGATTCTTCCTCGGTACGCGTCAGCTCATTGTCTAGCTGAGCCTTTCATAAATATTTCAGATGCCGTTCCGAGCTGGGAGTACTCAGTCGTCGTCTTCGAGTTCGTCATCGCCGCGCATAATGCAGACTATGGATGGTGCGACTTCCCGAAGTCATTCCAGCGAGTCCGCGGGTATCCCTTTGTTGGTCCCGCCACTGCCTGATATTTCTACAATTCCTGTGGTCCCATGTGGCCTTTGCCCCGTGCCCCTTCGAACGCCGTATACCGCCATCGCCCCATCCGATCTCATTCATAGTCTCATGACGATTTGTCAACATAGTTTTCACCATATTTGTTATATGAACTACATTACTACAGCTCCCGCTGATACGCGGGCTTTTTGCCCCCAGTGTCAAGCAAACAGTAAGAATCCTGTTTTTTTTTTTTCAGTCT